GACTGGGGTCGGATGCATTTCCATATCTGTTGGCGCAGCTGTTTGCACACAGACTTGAGACAGGCAACATCCTGCAGCAAGTATAGTACATATTACTACTCCTACTACTACTACTACAACCACAACAACAACAACTACTACTACAACAACCACAACAACAACTACTACAACAACCACAACAACAACAACTACAACAACTAGTACTAGTACTACTAGTACTAGTTCTAGTACTACTACTACGACGACGACTACTACTACTACTACTACTACGACTACGACTACGACTACTACTACGACTACTACTACGACTACTACTACGACTACTACGACTACGACTACTACGACTACGACTACTACGACGACTACTACTACGACTACTACTACTACTACTACTACCACTACTACTACTACTACTACTACTACTACTACTACTACTAGGGCCCCGGACGTTTCCAAGGTTCTGGCCCCGAAGCTCGGGCCCCGAACCGTGCACTACTATTGCTACTACCATTGAGTAGCACTACTACTACTACTACTACCACTACGACTACGACGACTACTACTACTACTACTACCACTACGACGACGACGACGACGACTACTACTACTACTACTGCCCTGGAAGTTTCCCAGGTGAAATGATCTGAGTTGTATTATTGGTCGGGCACAGGTCTCCTGATGAAAGCATTCGCTTTGGACAAAGCAGTAAGACTTGGCGCTGGAGGACTTGTGCTATGGGCTGAAATACACAACGAGGGTGATGTCAACGTGGCTATTTTGAAATGTCATGGTGGGGATCACTCAAGGTAAAGAATTTGTTCATTGTTCTAAAGCTACTATTATTGTTTGGGGGGATGTTTAGCTTTATAGTTTATGAATCAGTTTTCGGAGTTATTCAGCTTTATTTTCGGGTAGGTTATTCTGCATAGGTCGACATTATAGACTCATGCCGGAACCATTGATTGGGCCATGTTTTTTTTGCGTTTCTTTTGCGCAATAGTGTGGGATGAACCAAATGGTAATGTGGCTCTTTCCATTGGCGTGCGTTTCTTCCAGCTGTTCTCGCAGCGAGCTGAGGGTTGTCTTGGGACTTTCGATTGCATTGTCGATCAAAGGAAAACCAGCCTTGGCTGAAGCGACTTCGTCCACATTCGTCGTTGCAAACTTTTTGATGTTGCTTGTTTTTATGGAAACCATTGGCAGATGGCACCGACCAAAGCACATGTTCAGGTTTTCAACCTACAAAAGATCCTGAAATTTTTGCCGGTTTCTCTGATCTTTGCTGCTGCGCAGTCCTTCAACGTTGCTGGGCTTGGTCAAAGCGGTTTCTGCCTTTGCGTGTCATTGGCATGAGGTGATTGAGATATTTAGGGTGTATAGCCCGTTACCAGTAACAGTCGGTCAAAGATGATCATGTTCTTTTAATGGTTGGCCTTCTACCTCACCATTATCATCCACTGGGCCTTGGTAATGGGATATACCAAAGATATATTGAGATACAATTGAGATAACAATATACTAAACATATTTCAAACATATACCAAAGATAATCATAAACTTTGCAGTCCCTCACCTTGATGGCGCAGTCCCTCGCCTAGACTTTTCGCCTTCTGGACGGACCTCATCGAATCAGGTTCTTTCCTACACAGTGCTCAGCGGTGGGACCATCAAGATTTTGGGCCAGGCATGACAGCTTGTTTCCATTGGACTCGAGCAACAGTGGTTTTTGTTTTTGCCAGGTGCGTTTGCTTCAGCATCTTGGCTTGGAAGCCCACATGAATAGCACAGGCGCTATTTTGGCGGAGCATTTGGTTCTTAAGGTCAAGACCGGGAACACCCTTTTGAGAACACAATTCTTTTGTTCTTTCTCTTCCTCCTGATATTTGCGGACCGAGATCCATTTGATCGCTTCACCGGCCGTCACTGGCATACTGCCGCAGTCGTTCGCGGTGTTTTCGTGGAGAGGGATGCAGAGTCGAGAATTGAGGACTGCGCTCCTATCCAAGTTTCTTCTTGGGAGATCGTACCAGCTGACGCAATGGACTGCAGCTTGACGAATCAGCTTGACCTCTGGCTGTGACGGCAGACCTGTGGTCCTTAGCTGTGGAAGGTCATAGCTGTGATTGTCCTCGCGGCGGGCAATTTTTGTTGCGGCCTTACTGACACTCACTCTGACTCTCTCCCTCTCTCTGTTTTACGGACGAGACGGTGTCGTCCCGACGAAGACGGGTGAGAAGGCCTTGGTAAAGAGGACAACAAGATGAGATGGGCCTGCTACCAAGAACTCCAGGTGCGCAGTTGTTGCAGTTGTTGAGCCATTGCTGAGCTGTTTGATCCCAGATGACCCACTTCTTCTTGCAGGAAATCGAAGCAAACGAATCCTATTCATTGGATTCAACCGGAATTCCTCAGGAGTGTCGTGGTTCAGTGCTGTTGTAGTGTACTTCGATGTGTGTGTGTGTTGTGCATAGAACGGAAAAGACGTGGAAAAGAGGCATGCATCATGGGGAATCCAGATGCTACCGACAACAAGATGCAAGAAGTGCACAGTTCTATGACATTGGGCCTTTGCTATGCTTCTTTGCCTTTTGCATTCATGGTGGAGTTGAAAAAGCGGGGTTGCTTCGTTGGTGCCTGTTTACTTTGCCTGGGCAGGTTGTTCAGAGAATTTAATTGAAACGTCATGTTGATTTTAGTCCTCAGAGCAATTTGAAGACCGGCAGCTCTCAGGTTTTTACTTATTTGATATTATCAGATCTTGGATCCCTCGTTTGCGACTCTGAGCAAGAACTTATATATTCTGATGCAGATGGATCATCCGCCGTGCTGTAGGCGATGTTCATGTCATGAATGGTGGGGTGCGTGAGACGTGCCGCGATTTTCCCTTGTGCTGGAGATCTGTTCAAGATCTGCACCTGCCTTCAAAGACCTCCAACCCAAAGCAGATGCATCTTTAGAGTTGGCACGCCGAGGAGCGCTTCCTCAAAACTGAGGAAGACCAGCACTTTGGTTCAATCTAGGCGCAGGTTTTAAGAGTTCTTGCAAGCAATCTAAGGCCCTACTACATCCAGAAGACTTGGATGGAGATAGGATCTTTTCCTTGTTCCTTGGCCAATGACAGGCAACTCACTTAGGAGATTGTCAGGGTGTTTCCGGCAAGGCACTTGTCAAGGCAAATGACCGGCCATTGCTCGAATTCCAGGTGCTTTCATTTTGTCATTCCTGGTGCCACTGGGGCAGTCGTTCCTGGGTCCTCAACTCAGTGTGACCAGTCTCCAGGTGACCAACCTTCCGCAGTCTCCCAAACTAGCAGATTTCTTCATGAACAACAGCTACACCAAAAACCACTGAACAACAGCTAACAAACGCGTAGACGTCCGGTTGGGCTATTTGCCATTGGCTTCCTTGAACATATTTGACAGTTGCTGCACATAGTCTTCAGTTCACTTCTAGAGACAGCTCCATGTTCAGTTCAGGCATACCTGACAACTAAGTAGCTCCAATAGCTTCCTGCCTTACACACATACCGTGATCAGGTGTGGCTGAGAAGAGGTGGTTCCTTGAATGATCTTTGAAAATGGAACGAATGCGCTCGGTCTCACCGCACTGTCGAATTCGCACCTTCGAACCACCAAGGCGACCGCAGATGTGGTGGAGTGAACATGAGAAATGCAGCGATCCATCCTGGGCATCGCAGGCTGGCCCACGAGCTCGCACGCATGGCTCAAGCATGGCTAGCTGAGCAATTAAGAAGATCCAGTCGATGTGCCCTAGATCCCAGAGGAGTCTCCTCACAGATGCTTGGGAGACGCATCTTTGTGGTGTGAAACCATTCCTTTTGCAATGCCTTGCAATGCCACCATGCGCAACAACCATGCCAGCACCTCGCAGGGCACTAATATGAACTACTGTGGAGGCTTTTTCAGAAATTGGACTGTTGCTGCAGTGCGAATCTGAGCATTGCCGATGTGTAGAGCGATGTGTTTGTCGCGACCGAGCTCTCGAAACTTCAGCAGAGACAATGTGATTAACGCAGTGCTCAGGTCATTGCGTTGTTGCTTTGCATGTCGCATTCTTTTCTTTCCGGACTGGTGGTCAAGAAACTCAATTCCGTGGTGAAACTCCTGGGAAAGTCACTTGGCTCTTGATCTTGTCAACTGGAATTACTTTGCAGTGAAGTCAACAGCTGTGAGTTTCAATTGTCTTTAATCTTTGGAAGAATCAGGTGCGCATCTTTGGCAACTCGGATGGACGTATTTGGCGGGCCAAAGTTTTCTGTTGTAAACCGGGCAGGTTCTCTCTCATGTGGACTCATGTGGGTTTCCTTTGTACACATCAAGTCCGCATGCCTCTGATGTTTGTTTATTTTTTTTTAGCAAAGCGACCAAGAAGTTCTTTTTTCTGTTTTCTTTGTCTATTTTTTCCACCTTCCCAGGCCTTGGTGTTCTTCATTGGCGATTGTTGGATTCTTCGCAAACTGGACTGAACACTTGTGGTGACACTCGATACTGTATGGATAGCTGCCTTCTCAATCGATATGTTTTGCGCGGCACAGCCGGCAGGACCCATCTCCTATTTGTATGATTGCGGCCTTAACAGTGACCCCTGGCATATCTTGACTTGTCAACAAGTACTCCCCGCAGTCCAGTTGATAGAAAGTCTGAATGGAACATAATGGAACGTGTCCTCTTTCAGAGCAGCGCCAAGGATGTTAGCAACCTTTACCTTCATGAAGCTTGGGCTTACTATTTTTGTGTCTTGAGTCTCCTTTCAGATTGATGTCCAACGGACGACGTTAGCTTCGGCCCTTGGCGGCACCGGAGGAACTTGAAGCCTTCGAGGGAAGAGAAACCTCGAGATGTTGCAGACGGACAATCCACAGAATCATGGCAAGGATTGGTCGGCTCGTTGGATGTGTTGGAGCTACGGTATGAGCAGGTCATTGTTGCATGTCACGACAGTTTTGCTGTTATTCCGGTTTTTGGTCACTGCTTCTTTCTGTGTGGCAAAAAAGCATTGACCGTCTTGCTCAGGACCGGCAGGCGAGTGTTGAAATGACGCAGCGATGACAATTGAAGTGTACCGTTGAGAGACTGAGCTTGGCAATGATTTGACGCCCAAAGTTGGCTCAGCTCACTTCTGCGTGGCTGAAAGAAGCTCCTACTCCTCGTGGTCCTTTTCACCGGTAGTTCGATGGAAAGCGAAGCAGCTGATTTCGGGGAGCATCGATCCCGTGTGGGTCGAACGGTGGAGTAACGGAGCCAAAGAGAATCGAAGTCCTCGCTTTTCTGGGGGATCCGTACGCATCGTTGGTGATGTTGGTAAAAGTATATATATATATATATATGGACCTGATGATCTATTCGCATAGATTTGGAGACATTCGGCCTGTAAAAACGGGTAAAAAGAAACACCCTTCAAGATGCGAGATGGTCACTTTTGGCAGAGATGGTCCTCGAAAAACGGCGCTTTGAGGCTTCGGCGTGTGGAGGGAGCCATTTTGGAGGCGTTGATGCCTTCAACACCCTTGGAGCTGAGAGGGGCCTTGCTGAGGCGTGAAGGGCATTAATTAGGTACGTTAGGTATATGGCGTGATCTCCACGGTTTCGCGGAAAAAGACATTTTTCAGTTTGTTTTTTGGACAGAGCAACATTCCAAAGAAGTTTCCATACGCTATGCCTCTGTGATTCATATGGTAGACAGAGTAGAGTTGCCAGATTCGCAAGAGTCTTCAGCTGGCTTTAGGCCACGCTCGCACATGTTTTATTTGATTTTCGGGAAGGCGTGTCCAACTGCCGGCTCTGACCGGGCATCAGCAAATGATGTTCCTGGCTTAGCACCCACGGCTGAACCGTGTGGTCAGAAATGATTGAGGACAATAAAGAAAAACACTCGCAGGTTTGGGCAACTTCTTTCCCATGACCACTCGGCATTTTAAGGGGACGACTGCATCATTCAAACGAGAGAGCCGAGGGTTGGTTGTGCAGCGAAAATTCGGACAAACAGGCGTGTCATCTCAAAGCGCAAAGGCCTTCGCACGATTCCTTCGCAGCACATGCTGACAGAGCAACGGCCAGAACCTCGGGCTTCCAGAAGGCTCAAGTCAGCTACATAGCAACCCTTGGTTCAAGGTTGCTGCTTACCACTACAGTGCGGTGCTGTATCTTGATGAAGCTGGCAAAGACTTTGAAGACGGAGAGTCTCGTGACGGCATACATTTGCACACGTCATGGCAATAGTGGATATGTCACTGCTGAATACCGCTGATCATGCCGCTCGATTCCGAGCAGAAGGGCTCCGAGGCCTTTGCAAGCTTGACATGTTGGTTATCTGCCAAGGCAGTGGGATTTGCAGTTGCCAATGTTGCCGTTGCCCACCAATTCTTTGACTCCAGTCTCAGCCAAGGCTACTCTTCATGGACCGCCACTTGTATGAAAAGATCATTGGCAAATCCTTTCGATTTGGATCAAACCATTGGTATGCTGGCATGCTATTGAGAACGGCCCAATATATAATATAATATATATTGTGATTCATGGTAATGGTAGTTGTGCTGATGCTGGTGGTCCACTTTCTAAAAGGATTCTTCCTCTTTGATCTCTTTGTCACTATTTTGGGTAAAACCTGGACGGCCAGGCGATGGTGATCTTCGCCTAGCACCCAAAAGTGGCCAACTCGTTGCTTTTACCTCCGGGCTGGAGAACCTACATCGTGTGGTGAGCCTTTCTTCGGTTCTGCTGCCTCGGTGTTCGGAGGCATTTCCCTTCGGTCGAGCGCTTTTGGTTAGTACAAAGAGACAGGACATCAGAGGGGTGCAAACGGTCGGACGAAGCTGACTGAACTGAGTTCTTGCTCGGTCGGATGTCCTTTGAGCCCATGCATGGTGTGCTAATGTGAATTAGGATTCAACACGATTCAACAGTCTGATGATGTCTGATGTATGGCGTTGAGTTCTGCTTGGGTTCCAACCCATGAACTGTTGCATTCAGCCCAGCACCCATGGTCTTGTCGAGGTACCTCCACATGGTGGTCCCAGATATGTTCTTGCAATGTGGTTTGGTCTGAGCCCCAGTTTTTGTTCCGAAAAATGGAGCTTGGATCAACCGCAACAGGGAGCATGGGTTCAATTGCATCCTTTTGTTCGTGTGACTCGCAAAGTGTTTGATCGGCTGCTTCCCAGCGCACCTCTGCAGATGCTCTTCAGTGATCCTGGTAGAAGAGCGACTCCCCCACAAACGGATATTGGGAACCATTACGATCAATTTTGGCAGCACAGAGGTTCCGTGTAGGCGCTGGTTACTTGTTCACATCCCTTTGACCAGGCACAGGACCCAACGGGCCCATCCCCTGTGATGAATTGACGTCTTCGTCTCAGTGTGATCCTTTGCCCATCCCCACCGTTTCACCCCGTTTCACCCCATCGTTCAGGTCTGGCTTCGGAGCACATGTCGAGAAGCAAAGGTCGACCAGTGGCACCCTGAGGGACGAAGAAGCGGAAGACGATGATCCGAGTTTCGTTATCTTTAAAGCCCACCCTTACTTATTACTTCTTATAGGGAGTGGGCCGCTATAGGAAGAGGTAAGCCAGTAAGCTACTAGCTACTGGACGCAGGATAGCTCACACTTCTTCAAGGAAGCTCCCCATCCTCGCCTCCTTGGAAAAGTGCTGGCACTAATCATTTGGTTCCTAGATTTATATGGAAGCCTTTCTTTCATTTAGGGACCAAAGAGAGAAGAGGCTGCCAGCCGGTTATTCCTTCACTGTCTGCAGGTGAAGGACAGGTGACGGAAATCGCCATCGCGATGATTATTGCAATGGCCACACAGCCTACACTTTGACAGGTACACAGTATCCCAAAGATTTAGGTATTGACTTTGACACTATTGACATACGTCTGCGCATGGAGATACAAAGAGTCTCTCAAACGAACGAGACCCCAAACCAAACCATAAGGCATTTGTTTACTTAGTTCAGTTGTTGTGTTACTTTAGCTTGAGACATGATGTTGCCGCAAGAAAAGGACATATAAATTAGCATTTCTTATCCTTCTCTTTGCAGTGCTTCCGACCATGAGGTCTTCATCATTGCGCTGGCAGCAGAGTTGCTACGAAGCCTTTGCACCGCAGCCCGATACTACATGCAATCGCAAAAAGCAATGGTGAAGGTTCCCATATGTTCCCATACTTCTGGGATGTTCGGTGATCACAAGCAATGTGCGTGATCCTGGCGACTGAAGCTACTCTGAGGCAAACCGCACACTTGGCTCATGTCATGAGTGCTTTTCATGTCAGAAGAGACAGACACTCAATTTCCTGACAAACAAACAAGGGCAATATGTTGCATCGAGATGTGTAGAAACCATGCCACTCAGCCTTTACATGAGATCAACATGGTTGGCACTACTAAGGCAGCAGGTCCACGACCGCAAAAACAATCAACCACATCTGAACCGCACAAAGTCAAACATACTAGTCACGGAGATTTGTTAGTAGTCACGGTTACGTTATGGTTGTCATGTTATGTCACGCTTGGATTCTTTACTCTTCACATGCCTGACCAGACGTGATAAGTCGTGACCGTGACCGCTTCACTCCGGTTTGCCACTCCGCTGACCGCTCCCGGCGGCTCGAGCCGTGCTTGCGCCCCAGACGGCAAAAGGTCGGTGACGACGTCTGTGAGCGAAGGAGGAGAACAATGAACCCTTTCAACAAAAGAACAGGTGTAGAAGGTTGAGAAAGCAGGTGGGAGCAAGCGAAGTAAAGGTCTGGAAGTCAGAACCTCATGCTGGGGAATTAGATGGAACTATCTGAGGGTCTTGAGGGGAGCCCTCAGTCCACTGGGTTGAACATGTCCCTTCGAAATCCAAAGGTTTACTTTTTCTTGGCCTTATTGGAGTCAGCATACTCGCGACTCTGGCAGATAAGATTGAGTTGTCACAGGTTGGTGGTCTTATTGGTCCAAGGAAGCGTTCGCAGACCGTGCGTCACCCGCATCGGAGGCATTGGCAACATGGACACTGTGAGTTGGAATGTCCATCTCTTAGAGAAGCTGGCCAACATGTTCAGCCACGCGCTCTCTGCGCAATGAGGCAGCTGGATTTCCACACATGACAGCACATGTAGAGAAATCACCAGACATTGTCAACATATGTCTGCTACCGCCTCGAAGCCAGAGTTAGAGGAAAGCCCTCTTGGATAGTCAAAAAGGTGACTCGACTCCAGTGACCAGAGATCACCAGAGCTCACACACACATTATTTGGGTGTGTATCACAATTGGGAGACCTTCCAGGCAACGGCCCCCTGGAAGGTTCGGGAATGAGACCAGTCAACTCCGGCTAGGGAGGCTAGGGGCGAGAAAAGGAGGGAGAACCCTATACACTGTAGTATACACTGTCTACACCCCCAAATATGGTCACACCATGTTACACCATGTTTGGTGACTCCGGAAGGTACCAAATCAACTTTTTCCTTAGTTGTCATGAATTACTCATGAAATTAGTTGCCATCACATAGTTGCCAACGCGGACATTGTTGCCAATGTATCACGAATTGGAATGGGCCGCCCTTTCTCTTGACTCACTCCGTCGTCCACTCGTGTTGGTTCTCCGTGTCGACTCCGTGGACCGATGTCCGAATTGAGGTCTTCCGACTCTTGGCTGATTTCTTGCACCTGGGAGGCGAGGCGCCCTGGCCCGGGCACCGTGTAGTTTTCTAACAAAAACGATCCGATCCGAATGCGGAGCTTAGTACGTGTCAGAGCTGTTTCAGCCTGCTGTTTCTTTAAGGTTCTTGGTGCTACAGGTCCATAGTGAGGTCATATAGGATTTATATATTGGTGCTTGCTTTCCCATCCGTGAAGAGATCTTGCTAAAACCCATCGGTTGCAGGCATGAGCTTTGGCCTGGCTGCCATTGTGTCTTCAAGCCCCTTGTCAGAATAGGTCGACCGTGAGACGTTCGGACGTTCCACGCCTCAGCCGTTCGGATGTTCCTCGCCACGTCTGAGGATCGGTGGCAGGCTTCTCCAGGAAGACCCAGGCGGTTTGAACACCTCGTGAGCGAGAGGAGCAGGAAACGCACGAATTGGGGTTAGCTCCAAAGCTTCTCAATTCCTTTTGGTTGAGAGAGTTTTGGCAAGTACTTGATGATTTGGAGAGTTTATCGAGACTTGTGGTGATGAAACTGCCAATGTCCAAGAAGGTCCATGGGCTCTACGAGCATGACTTTGATAGCATTTTGGGACTTGACATTCAAGCAGTTTGTTTCAAGAAGCAAGCAGTGCTCCTGCGTAAGGTCTCCACGAGATTCACTTTGCCGTTGTAGCCCAGAAACTATATTAGTTTTCTTAGGCAAAAAGACTTCTAGCGATGAGCTTATTCACCATGTTCATGGGCTACATAGCAAAGAAGACTCTCCCCCAATCTATAGATCAACTGCCTGCCACAGAACTGTTAAGGCACCACTGCCTGTTCTCTTTCCGCAGGTCCTTTTTCAGCTGGTGTTTGTGTCGAGATACCTCGACATCTTTACGCCCAGAAACACAGTGGGAGTGGCGACGTGGCGAGTTTGCAATTGCTTTTGTGACGGGCTTTTGTTTTGAACCACTGCGCAGTGGCTGAGGCAGCACCAAGGCCTTTACTTGTTGTTCTTCAAGGTGCGACTTAGAACAGACCCCTTGGAACACATGTTGACTGCAGTGTAGTCAGCTGATTGCCTTCAACTGCGTCTTGTGTGCAGGTTACTTTCAATTTGATTACAGCAGCTGCCCCAGCAGAACACGTGTTTCTTCTTTTTTGAAAGGTTTTTGGAGACTGTCAGACTATCATAGACTATCTACTATTCGAGTGTAATTGAAAACAGGAAGATGAAAAAGACGGAAAGTGGCACACGCCTGGCATTAAATCAAGTGCTGGCACCTTTGTGCCGCAGGCCCGACAGGCTGTGTGCCATCATGTCGCCATCTATCCTCTGAGGCCTTTATGCTATGGCTCTTTCATAAGCTGCACCAGACCTACGAAGCAGCAGCCGATTCGCTGGTGTCTCCCAGCTCTCTCTTTTTTCGCGGCTTTGTCGCTCTCTGATTCGCCGGGCACTCTCCGACCAACATGAAGACATGAACAGGATGAACCGACTGTATCTTGCCTCTGGTACCAAGAGCGTGCCCGGCACCAGTCTCCGAAAGAAGCCCTTGAAGTACTCGGACAGCTGAAATCCAGAGGGGTCATGAGGGCCCCACGACCCTGTTCCCAGCCAATGCAAGGTGCAATCTCTTAGCATTGGTGGCGCCGGCAGCCATCCTCGCCTGGCTCAGTGGGGGCATGGGCTTGCGGGAGGCCGAGATCTCAGGCTGAGTGGAGCAGGTGGGGATCTCAACATTGAGGGATCCCTCCAAACCATGGTTTTGTTGCATATAGCAGCTTTTGGTTGACTTTCTCCAGGAAAAGGGTTACTGGGATACCTGGACATTTGTTTGATGTTGGGATTAGTGAGTAGGCCTCATTCCCTCATTCCCTCCAACAGTTCCAACTTTATTTCCCCCTTTCTGACACAGATAGCCGGGCTGAAAAAGGCCTGGATGAATCGACCTAAGAAGGCCTGCAAGACCAGCCAAGAAGGCTGCGAACGCAGGGTCAGTGAAACATGCTCTTCACGCGACTGGCGAACGCACTGGCGCTGACCATAACCCTCAAAGTGAACGCACACCAACCAGACTCCCAAGCTGCCCAGCTTCACCATTTGCCGAGCGATCCACCATGTTTTCCACTGTCCCGTGACCTTTGCTCGGGGTCCACGGAGATCGCGGGGGTCGACCTTGCTCCGCCGCCTAGGAGGCCTGGACCTTCTCGGAGTTGCTGGAGCCATTGGCTTTGATACCGCAGTACATCGTCTGCTACAGGGTGCGAGCCATCGATGCGCGCGGTGGGGCGCATCGCGCCACCGGTTCTTTCGTGGAACGGACTGGTAGCGGTCCTGTGGCGGTCCGGTCTGGTTCTGGTCACTTCTAGTCTACAAGAAGAGGTTCAAGCCAGTCTCACTCTACAAAAAATCATAAAAAATCCAAAGAGGCACACACAAATGTCTAAACGAATTATACTACGTATGGTTTCTTTAGAGTCATAGGCTGACTGCTTTTCCGCCGATGTTTTGGGCTTGAAAGCTTGTTGGGCCGGGGTTGGATGTCCGCGCCTTGCAATAAGTGCCGAGCTGCCCCCGCATCCGCGAGGGACTCTTGGTGCTTAGCGTGTAGCGCTGTTGAGTCGGTGACCACCGAGCTGCGTTCGCGCTGGGGGTCCGTTGAGTTGCGGAGGTTGGCAGCCGATTCCCTGGTGGAGCAGGCCAAGTTCGTAAAGACCTTGCGCATCCTGTCTCTCAGGCTGAGGTTCGAAGGTGAGGACAGGTCAGGGACTCGAGGCACAACAGGAGGTAAAGCTCTTGGCGCTACACCCAAGGCTCGAACTCCAGTTCCACCACCTAAAGCTCCTCCTGTGCGTCGTGAAGAGGCACCAAAAGAGGAAGAGTTTGAAGAGGTTGTGGAGCACGAGGAGGAGCGTGAGTCGGACATTGAGAGTGAATACAGCTACGAGTCGTCGGAGGCCCAAGGAGTGGTTGACGATTGGCAGGAGGCGAGTGACAAGAGGGTTGACCGCACGCCCGTGAAGTCTCGAAAGAGCTCTGGGTCAGCGGAGGTTGAAGGAGAAAAGAAGAAGAGGCAGTATTCAGAGGAGGTGAGAGAGTTGCCAGTCAGCGGCAAGAAGGAAAAGAAGGTTGAGAAGGCAAAGCCCGTCGAGAGCGGCAGCCGACATCGCACTCGAGGTCGCAGAGGTGGAACGAAGCATCAACAATCGTCAAAACGGCGACACGACCCATCAGCTCGCATTCACAGGAAGCGGAGTGTGAAGAAACTCATTGAGCTCAAGGCGCAGGACAAGGCATCTTCTCCCCGCGAGAAGGAATGTCGACGTTGAAGGCAGTGTTCCCAGAATGGCAGGAGGGCGACTTGTTCACCCTCACCGAGATGGCAGATTGGCATATGCTCACCCCCGTAAAGGGGGACGTTGCTTGGATTTCCTTGCCCACCACAGATATGGAGAATGCCCCAAATTGTTGTGCAGCCTTTCTTATCCTGGACAGGAGTGTCACCGGAGATGGAGGTATGACGTTGACAGCCAAGTTCATCGCATCGGAGGATCAAGGAGCGGCCAAGGAGTTGTCGACTTGGTTCAACAGGCGAGGAGGAGGCCTTCACCTTTGCAGTTCGTCGCCGTGCACGCATTTCGACCCTGCATTGTTACATTGCACCCAGGTGCGGTTCTTTACCGTGGAGAATTTCGCCGAGGATTGCTATGGCCCAGCACAGAGAAGGCAGGTGAAGAAGTGGCTTGGTGCAGGAGAGGTCACCGATGTAGAAGGAGAGCCCAGGGAAATCAGGGTTTCTGCAGAGGAGGACGGTCTCTCAGTCGCGAAGAAGGTTGGCCGAGAAAAAGGAAAAGGTGGCAACACCCCTTCAACCCCTGGGCAGAGGCCTGGGGTGCTCAGAAAAAGGCCGGCCGCCAGTGTTGCCGCGCCCGGTACGAAACCTGGCATCGATCAGGCCAATGCCAAAGCTCGTTCAAGTCCAAAGAGGTCGGCGATGGAGGTGCTAGGCGAGGAGCCGGAGCGAGAGTTGGCAGAAGACTTGAGGATAGAAGAAGGAGAGGAGTTGAGCAAAGCAGGCACAGCAGACTTGAAGAAGAAGTTGGAGACTTTGCGTTTGCGGCTTGGGGGAGATCCCAAACCCAAAAGGGTGCAATTCGACAAGAAGGCCACGGACATCGAGCCCGAGGATGCAGAGCAGGAGGCCTCAGCAGGTACAGACTTTGCACTTGGGCCGAAGGGCCTGAACACGGGTCCGAATTTGAGGAGAGTCCAGCAACCGTCCGAGGCTACAAGAGGTATTTCTTCGAAGAGCATCTCGTCTCAACTGGCGCTTCAAGCTCAACAGATGGCGGAGGTCAGCACAGAGGCGAGAAAAAGCTCAAGAACACCGGCTTCGAGCAAAGAAGGCGAGGAGAAGGAAGCGTTGGCGCTTCTGAACCGTGTGCTGAGGAGGAGCTCCAGCGCTGGGAGAAGCGAGGACGGGGGAGATCCCCCGGACAGAGACGAGAAGAGAGGACGCAGTGGGTCACGAAAGAAGGGCAAGAAGAAGAGAGAGAGAGGAAGGAAAAAGAAGCGAAAACTGATCAACGGGGTTCTCATGTCAGCTTCAAGCTCGGAGGATTCCAGCGAAGACTTATCCAGTTCCGGCAGCAAGGACTTCGAAGCGCCTTTGCGCAAAAGAGCCAAAGCAAGTCCTGGAAGCGTGCTCCGTCTGCTAGTCAAGCGAGCACAGACGGCATTGGACCAGTCAGCATTGGTCGACATGGACCCCTTGAACAACAGTGCCATCACCACTGGAGTGAAATTAGTGACCTACTACCAGTTGCACATTCGCCCTCACTATGCTCACGCCAGGGGACAGTTAAGAGACATGCACCTCATGGCGCAGACCCTGGACCTGCTTCGAGCGGGGCTCATAGCCCAAGCATGCGACCACTTGGCAGGACACTTCATTGCCATCCATCAATCCCTGATAGATCAGGGCTGGGGCCAGGCAAGGTATTTGGAGGTGATCGAAGGCGAGGAGATGGGCGCCACTCCAGCGTCCATATTGCTGGAGACAAGACGTCATGCCAAAACCTCGATGCGTGCCGAGAACCCCGAGGCTTGGCTCCCTGGCAGAAATCGAGGTTGGTTCGGAGGAGACAGCAAAGGAAAGGGTTGGTGGCCTGCAGACAGAGGAAAAGGAAAAGGGAAGAAAGGCAAATGGAGGGACAAAGACAAGAACGAGAAAGGGAAAGAAGGAAAAGGAAAGAATGTGTGGAAGGAATCCATGGACAAAGGCGAACAAGCAGCAAAGTAGGGCAAGAGGAGTGCAGGCTGCCTTTAAACCCTTCTAGAGGATCAGAAGGTTTGGCGCCATGTTTGAAGAGGAGTGCAGAGGAAGTTGAGAAGGAGGCTTTGAGGACGAGCGGGGAGAGCGTGATGCATGATCCCTGCCTTGATGCATGCCGTTTGAAGGAATTTGAATCTGGCCAGGAGCTCCTGCAAGCCATTGGCAGCCGGATTACAGACATCAAGAGTGCTGGCTGCCTACTGGCTTGGATAGTTGCAAAAGCCGGAGCTTTTTTGACGGGCCCATCTTGGACCTGGCTTCGCAAAATACTTTTTGAGCGTGGAGAGACTGCAGTCTGTCACGAGAAGCCCCGGAAGGCTGTCTCGTTCCCCGTAAGAGAAGGAGAGCTTGCAGCATTGATTCAGAGATTGAGAGGCATGAGGCTGGAGGAGGTTGAGTTGCCCGGTTTCATTGAAGAATGTTGTGAGGAGTGTTGGTTGAGCGTGTCACTCGTGGCGTTGAACGGCCTTGCAGGCTACTCAGAGCCGCTGGCCCCTGGAGCATGGAGCAAGATGGAGCACGGGGGCGTTGAGAACGTCCGGATGGCTGTGAGAAGGCTGTTGAACTCCCCGCACGGACCAGTTGAGTCCTTCGAAAAAGTGTGCGCTGACGTGAAGAGAGCTCGAGTGGGGTATGATGGTGAAGAAGTAGGAACTTGTGAAGCTTTGACCTTGGCACAGGTGGTACCGGCTCTCCCCCTCATGGTCATGGTGGTTCAATTGCGTTGGGCTCGGTTCTTTCTGAAGCTACTTGTCAACTGTTGAATCATCCTGAAGAACTTCTTAGGGAGGACTTTGCTAGACCAATCCCCCCTATCCCGGGGAAGGCACATTTTGGAAAAGGAGAGAAAGAAAGGGTGTGCAAGGTGTTGGTGGACCGAGGCATTTGCACTTGGGTGAAAGCTGATGAAGTTTTGGTTTACAAAGGGTTTAGGATTCTTAATGGCATTTTTGGTGTGCGAAAGCCGGCGTGTCTTGAGGACGGTCGACCGGTGCTGAGAGTGATCATGAATCTTCGTGCGAGCAATGCTGTGTTGAAGCAGCTTAAAGGGTCTGTTAACTCTTTGCCTGCCATCACTTGTTTCCAAAGTGCCACCCTGGATGATCGTGAGGGTTTCCATTTTTACCAAAGCGACATGTGTTCAGCTTTCTATCTCTTCCGGTTGCCTGTGGTGTGGCATAAGTTTTTGTGCTTCAATGTGAGTGCAAAAGGTGAGGAGATCGGCGGTGAAGTTGGCCAGCAGTACTTCTTGAGCTGCTCAGTGTTGCCAATGGGGTGGCACTGCAGTGTTGGTTTGATGCAAGAGATCAGCGAAAGGATCCTTTGGTCAGCAGGTCTGCCAACTGAGCAACAGCTCCGCAGAGGGTTTGCAGTGCCGACCATCTTGACGCATTGTGCTAGACAGTCTTTAAAGACAGACCGGAGTTTCTGGCAAGTGTACCTCGACAACTTCATGGGTGGAGAAAAGCGAGTATCACAAGGTTCATCCGATATTGGTGACAAGTTGCATGCAACAGCAGAAGCAGCCTGGGCGAATGTCGGCATCATCTCATCCGAGAAGAAAAGAGTAAGTAACTGCATGGCAGTTGAGGAGTTAGGGGCTCTAATTGACGGAGATCTTGGCTTCCTAGGAGGTTCCCCGAAGCGTTTCTGTAAACTGTTACAGGCGACCCTGGGGGTGTTGAGTCAGAAGATTCTTTCCCGAAAAGAGGCACAGGTCATCGCAGGACGTTGGGTGCACGTGCTTCAGTTTCGGCGTCCTGGGATGGGGTTTCTTGACAATGTTTGGAAGTTCATCAACTCCACCTCAGATGGGAGTGGCCTGGCCTTGAAAACAAAATTCGAGTTTTTCAATGTCATGTTCGCTATTCCCCCGCTTCACACATCGTTGACCGCCGAAGTACATGATTCCTTTTGGTGTAGTGACGCTTCGGAGCAGGGAGGTGCAGTGGCTTATGCAGTGGAGCTTTCTTCAGTAGGAAAAGACTTCCTTATGTCGGCTAGACTTGGTGCAAGGTCCCTCGGGACCACCCCCATTTTGGTGGTGGCGCTGTTCTCAGGAATCGGGGGAACTTTCCGCATCTATGACCTCCTCGACTTGATTCCCCAAGGGGCTATTGCTGTTGACATCCACAAACCCGCGAATCGCATTGTCAGTAGAAGATGGCCGGGAGTGAGGATTCTTAGAGATATTAAAGACATTTCTCAAAAAGATGTTGAAGAATGGGCCCTCGACTTCTGTTCGGTCAGAGAGGTACACTTGTGGGGTGGCTTTCCCTGTAGAGACCTTAGCTCTGCGCGAGCATTTAGGAAAAACCTTGCAGGGGACAGTAGCGGCTTGTTCTTCGAGTTCTTGAGAGTCTGGGAGCTTCTGGAGACACATTTCCCAGATGCAGCAATCAAAGTGGCTGCAGAGAACGTGGCATCGATGGATGAGCATGCAAGCCAGGAGATCTCTCAATGGATGAGAGTCCAACCTTATTGGTTGGACTCGATTGACGCCGTCCCTATGAGGCGACCACGGCTGTGCTGGACAAACGTCACAGTTGACAACTGCATGGACGGAATCAGTCGTGAAGCAGAACGCCGTTGGACAAAGATCACCGCTACAGCACGCTATCCACACACTGAGCAGTGGCTTGAACCAGGTTGGAGTTGGCCGGGGGAAAGCATATGCGAAGGCTTTCCCACTTGCATGCGAGCGGTGCCCAAGGATTCTCCACCTGCCTACCCTGCAGGTTTGCGCAGAGCTGATCATGATTGTCGTTCACGTTGGGCCGCAGCAGAGTACATTTTTCCTCCCTATCAATTTAGGTCCGAGTTCCTTGTTTGGAGAGGCTCGTCTTGGCGGCTAATAAATAGTGAGGAGAGAGGTCTTTTGATGGGGTATGGTTTCGGTCATTGTGAGTTAGCCTGGGCTGCTAGTAAGATTAAAGAAAACAAGAAGGGATTTGAGCTTGAAAAGTGTTCCCTCATTGGTGATGCATTCAGCGTTCACTCCTTCATTGTGATTGGGGTTGCGCTTTGCCAAGCATGGCTACCCCGGGTGCACTATCATCACCTGGCTGCCCGTATGGGCATGGCGCCTGGGTTCAGGGCACCTTTCAGATTCCAAGCCCCCATCATGAGAGAACTTCAATATGGTTGCCAGAGCGTGGCTGAGGCTCAAGCTGGATTAACAGTTGGTGAGTTGAACAAGTTCTTTCTTGGCAGGGCCAATTTCACCGGCAGTGATATAAGAGTGGTCAGCGGAGATGTTCTTAACCCTAGATGTTTCCCTAGACAACCAGTGTGTGCACGTTGGTGGGAGTGGCAGCTTTGCTTCAAGATGAAGTGGAACACTCGTTCTCACATCAACGTGTTGGAACTTAAAGCAATTTTGCTCAGCATTCAACGAGGTATTGAACGGGGAAAGTGGAGCAATTGTAGAATTTTCCATGCCACTGACTCCTATGTTGCCATGAGCGTAATTAGTAAGGGACGCACTTCCAGTGTTATGTTGAACCGGTTGTTGAAAAAGCTCAACGCGATGCTCTTGTTCCATGGCATTCAGCTCTTGGTCACCCATGTTGAGAGCTCAGAGAATCCAACTGATGCCGCTAGTCGGGCATGGTGAGGATTCAACCAAAGGTGATTCACCGCACAACACGCAAACAAAGGCGTGAGGCTCGGCATGGCATAGTCCTAGCGGAAGCTGGGATCAGTGAAAGGACAAGACAAGGCTACTTAGCCGCGCTTCAGAAATTGTTGCCGGCACTTGAGAATGTCCAAACTCCATCGCAGTTGGATGCTGCAGTCGCAAGTTGGCTGGAAGATGCTTGGGAAGACGGAGAGACATTGTACATTGTTTCAAACGCTCTTTGCGGTTTGCACTTTTTCGAGCCGCTGACTAAGCATTGCATCCCGACTGCTTGGCGTTTGTTTGCTACTTGGCGAAAGCTTGAATGGCCTTCTAGAGCACCCCCTCTTACTTGTAGCATTGTTCGTAGCCTTGCAAACTACGCACTTTCTCACGGAGATTTATTCTTTGCGGCGCTTTTATGCCTGGGCTTTTTTGCCCTTTTGAGAACAGGCGAAATGTTGGCATTGCGTGGCACTGACATTCTTTGTAGCTCCACCCAGCTTGTTTTGTCGTTAAAAGGGACAAAGTCAGGTCAACGAAATTCGGCAGATGAAACCGTGGCCGTCGAGGATACTTTTTGCATATTAATCTTACAGACAGTGCTTGATATTCTCTCTAGCAAGCATGCTCTACACCAGCGTCTTTGGGAGTTCTCAAACCAAAGCTTCAGGAATCATTTTGAGGCCTACATGAAGCGGTTCGGTTTAGAGCACCTCCACTTTCGCCCCTACTCCCTCCGTAGGGGGGGGGGCTACCCACCTCTTTCAGGTGTCAGGGAGCATGGAGCTGGCTTTGGTTAAAGGTCGTTGGACCTCCAACAAGGTTGCAAGAGTCTACATTTCGGATGGGTTGAGCAAGCTTCCAGATTTACTTCTTGACTTTCAAACTCGGCGTCTTCTTGCTTCGTGGCACCCCCGTTGAGAACAACGGAAGAGGGATTCGTGGAGGAGGATGCACTTTTGAGCGCTAAGGCGCTGGTGATTGATTCACC